GGGACCACCGGGAATATACACAGATGATCATGGCAAAGACCACAAAGGCTACAATTGCAACACATACCGCAAGCCCACTCTGTTGCATCCATCGACAAAACATGGTGTACAACCCTACACTGGCGAACGACATTCCTTCATCGCCTACTCTTCAGGGGGGTACCAGAAGTTCAACAAAAAGCAAAAGCAATTCCTACATCAAGCGCAGTTCCTCTTGCCTACGGCTCAGTTGAAGCTCCCAGCTCAGAAGGCAATGGTTTGTTTGAGGTGTGTTGGTTCCCCTCTCGATGAGGGGGGTAGGCTTAACAAACCGTGTTCTCGTTTCGAAAATGATTCGTTTGCACACACATCGCTCGAGTGCACAAACACACAACAAACTGCAAGCCTTGACCATGAAATCTTGGCTTTCTTTATGTGCACGCCTGCCATTGCAATTTCAGCTGGTTCTGATCTTCTCGACTTGCCCGAAGCGACTTCTACGATCCCCAAGATGGCAGCCATCGTTGTGAGCGACGAGTTCTGCAGGGTCAACACCTCCGAAGCAGACAGGAATGGGGTTACCAAGGCCATGAAAACCATTCTCCAATCCGCCGCCCTCAACAACGATATCATTTCGCTCGGCGCCGATCATGAGAGCCAGCTCTTGGAGTCGGCGTACAGCTGCGTATCCACACAATGCGCGGCTGGGGTATCCTTGACCCATGCCGACGCAACCTGTGTGGCTCTGCGCCAGATGGCTGACCTCAGTGACGAGGGACTCGCCAAGTTGAAGCCAACCGCAAGGTTGAGCCCCAAGGCCAAGCGAGCCATCATAGTCGTGTCAGACAGCTCCACTGCACTTTGCAAGAAGAACAGGCGGGGAGTGTTCGTTAAGGCCGACTTGGATGCGGAAGTGAACATCGCAAGCTGGACGCTGGGATGGGCACAGACTCGCTATACCATGTGTTGGGGTAAAACCTTGGCGTGGATTGTCTGGCAGGTCGAGGAGCATGTGAAGGAGCTCAGGAGCAACTATCCGGACCACACCATCGACGTGATCTGCTGGTGGTGCGGGAACGAGATCTCCGGCCAGTGGGGCTGCATCCCCACGCGGCTAGGACCGGGACTCGCCTACAGAGATCCCAATGTCACAACGGAGACCGTCGCACGGAAAGTGAGAAGGGCAGCGGATGTTTTAGCCGCCCTCGCGGGCGAGCCGGACATTGGTTTTGTGAAGGTGATTGGGCAGGTGGAGGCGGACTTGTTCCAACTCCACTCAGCCTACAACGACTTCAATGCCGCTATGTTCGAAGAGTTCAGGCAGCGCGGTCTGCAAGTGCAAACCGCAAGCTCCTTGGTCGAAAAGCTGGAAATGTATGACAGCTTTCACGCCAGCGAAGACCCTCGCAACCGCGAGTTATTCCAGACCTACTTGCATGCGACTATCAATGCAAGCAGGAGCGAATGGCTTGCCCAGAAGATGGCACCCTGTGTCAGGGCTTTGCTTGTTCGCTATGAGCACTTTGAGACTGGCTCCGATGCCAACAATCCAGTGCTCGAGGATGTCTTCAAGCAGTGGCGTGCAGAGAAGGACCAGCTGATGAACCCGAAACAGGCCAAGCCAATGCCGGTCACCCAGGAGGACAAGATGTGGGAAGCCCCAGATGCCGCTGACGCAATCGACGTCAATAAGATCTCCGAGGGGCCACCCATGGATAAAGCCATCCGCAAGGATGTGCCAAGGATCGGTGCAACCACGGACGTCAGTGCTGTGGCGGAATGCGTCAATGACATCGTCACCCAGGACGCAGACGGCAAGGTGTCCTACAACACCCCGGGCACGGTGGAGCTGGTGGACGAGGGCGACCAGGTCGACCCTATCCCCTCATCGATTGGACGTGTTGTTGAGCCAGCGCCTCCGAAGAAGACTAAGAAGTCTGATCGAGACGAGGATGCCATGCGAAGGCTCATGTTCATCGATGAAAGCGCCCCGCAAGGGGCTGCCACTGTGCCAGAGCTTCCAAATGAGTACTTCTACAATGGCAAGAAGCACTTGATGAAGCCCTTCAACCCGGAGGACATTGTAGGAGACAGGCACGTGACATTCAAACACGGAGACCTGAAGTTTCTCACCAAGCTGCTGCGTGGCCATGAAATGGACGACTTCCCTGCATTGATCTTTGACCGTGGGTGCTGGACAGACGTTGACACTCTGCTCCAGGTCTTCAACACGGCACGGGGCGCACGCTGGGGTGTGAGGCAGCTGCTACGCGCAGCGAAAGCCGATAATAAGGGACGGATCAGACTTTTGGGCATTGACGTCCCAATGAAGGACACCCTGGGTCAACCGCTATTCCCTGTCAGAGTGAGAATGGCCCAAGGGCATAACTCCAAGCTCATCGGCAATAACCCGGACGCGGACTTCTTCCTTGCGACCAGGTTCTACAGCGGATTGTCCGAGTACGAGGCCGACCTGCAGAGCAGCGTCAGGGGGGTCACTGTGCTCTCCCGCGAGGATACCCCCCCAAAGCTCTTCCACCGCACTAATGAAAAGGGAATGAAGGGTATCCTCCGCGATGGAATGATCGCCGGCTCCGCGAGGTCAGACAGGTCCCACAACTACCTGTCCCCGTACAAGTTGGACGACACCCACTACAAGAGTGGAATGCGCTCCAACCAGCCGATCGAGCTGACGATAGACACGCAGCGAGCAATCGCCGCTGGATGCGTTTTCTTCGTCACGGAGACCGACGGCGTCCTCACACGGGACAATGTGCCTCCCGATTGCGTGCTGTCCGCCATCGACACCAGCAAAAAGAACCTCCCGCTCTACGTCGCCGAGCACAAAGAAGCCGCCCGCGAGGGTGAGCCAGAGCGCATTTTCCGCGCAAAGCGCGACTATGAGGAGGCCGCAGCAGCAAGCTCATCATCGGCACCGCCCCCAAAACAGGCGGCTATCGCTCCCAAAGCGATTGCTTCAAAGAAGATGCCGAAGGTGGTTCCCAAGCCCGCCGCAATCGCCGAAAAGGACGAAAGCATGGACTTGGATGAAGCCACCCGCGAGGGTGAGCCTGCTGATGCTGCTGGTGCATTCGACCTTGACGAAACCAAGGTTGAGGTTGAGGTCGAAGTCGATGAAGGCGATACAACGGATGCGGGTGAGGATGAGCCGTACCCACTTGGCTCTCACCCATGCCGCGAGTGCGCAGCAGTCGTTGCCAATGGCATGCTGTTCTGCCTCCGTTGCAAGGCTCCCCAGACGGATGATTCCAAGAAAATCACAAAGCGAGTCTTTGAGAATTCGAGACTCCGCCAGCGCCTTCTTGCCACCGCTGCGACTGGAGCCCAGAAGCCCATCGATGATCTCCTCGCGAGTGACCTTCGAGGCCTGGGCGAGGGACCAAAGAAACGTGGTCAGATGAGCGCGGAGGCCGCCGCCATTCGTGACGCCAAAGACCGAAAGATCAGGGCCGCCAAGTTGAACTTTGACACCGTGTCCGACCGCTTCGAGAAGGACGCGCAGTTCAACGTGAGAATGATGCAAGAGGGCCGCAGCCTTGAGGACATGCAGAAATTCGATCACCTGTCGAACGCTGTGCTTCCCGATCCAGGACGCAGTGAGGAGCAGCGCTACTTGCGTGCTGGCTCCCATTATGGTGGTGGCAATGTCCCGCCTGCGAAGCTGGTCTATTATGCCCACTGCGAAGTGGAGCCGTTGAGGAACTTGCGGTTTATCGATGATACCGCGGATGTCCCCATCGGCTTGACCTACCTCGGTGCATTCCTCCCTCCGCGACTCTATGCTGAGGTGGCAGCAGTGAACGACGCTGCAAAAAGGATCCTGACTTTCGACGGCGAAGTCTATGTGTCGGCTACCACAATTGAAGGCATCACAACTGAGATCGGACAGATTCTTACCGATAGCCTCCGTAGTGCTCAGGACCAGACAGACCAAACGGAACGTCTGGCAGAGCGCAATCGCCAGGCTGCAGTCCAGAACCGCCCATCCCAAAAGGGACGTGGTCGCACGACAGCACCTGAGCCCATGTACAGAGGCTATACTCAGGCCCAGTGGGACGAGTACTATCGCCAGCGTCGTGGAGGTTACACTCAGGCCGAGTGGGATGCATGGAACCGCACCCATAGGCGCTGAGTCCTCATTCTGATTTGCTTCGGACCTGCAGGGCTTCCCCGTTGTGCTTTATAAATGCTCGCTTTGGCAAATTCCCAAATCCGTTGAAGCCCAGGGCAACCTGGAGCCATGTACTATCCGCCTTAGCTCGAGCAGCACGGCGAGGGGGGTGTAGATTTTACCCTGCTTCCATTGCTATTCCTATGGTCCTTAGCTATGTCTTTACGCGACCGCACTTGGCCCAAGTCCCCCGTGGAAAAAGGTCACAAGGGTTGACTGACCGGTAACTAGACGTGCCAAGCTGGTAGCCTGGGAAACTTCAGCCTGGCGTTCCTTCATTGTTTCGGGTTTAAGATGTCGAAAGGCTCGAGGTGGGAGGGTATCTCGTGAACAAGTACTAAGTATATGTAGACTCATCAAGCATATGGTTCACCCGGAGGTATGTAGCATAATGATCGTTACATGCCTTCTCTTGGGGCTGGAGCTTTGATGTCCGACATCGAGAACCCTGCGGCACGAGGAACGCCTGTCCGAAGCTTTATGCACGTTTGCCGCCCTCTGTCTCAACTCTCAGGAGAGTGAATCCCAGGTCCTCAAATCTGGAGCCTTAAACTCTGAAGCCATAATACCAAGAAGCATCGATGTCCTGTCGCGCGGCATAGCTTCCGGCAAGCGCCAAAAAGATTTGCATGCACCCTCATTTTCTGAAACTTCGGGCTGGGCAATCATTCGGGTACTGCCACAGCCGGGGTCGTGTGAAATTGGTGCCTTGTGCGCATGTTGAGTATAGCCTTGGCGAGGCTGCTTCCATGAAGCTGCACCTGAAGCTGCCAGGGAGTACACCGTAAAGCCCTAAGGCACCAAACAAAGCAGCCTTAATCGGAATCAGGAAGGGGGCTTTCCCAATGAGTTCCATCGACGTGCGCGTGCTGCCAGGTCGGAGGCCTGGTCCTGCGGTTTGAGGATTCGTGAGGTTTATTGCTGGGACTCTGCATGCATGTTGATTGGACTATCAACATGATTATTACTATGTGTTTCTACTATCGGAGGAGGCCTTTGTGGGGGCCATGACTGTGATCATATCAAGTTTTGCCAAGTTTTGCGAGCTTGGTTTTCGGCTTTGACATTCAGCATTTCCTGCATTTTCCCTTCATGTCGTTGGAAGACTTTCTAGGTGCAGGTCTATCAAGCTCAATACACTCGATGCCTGGGATCTGCAGAGTTATGCCCGACGCTCCGAAACTCAGACCCACCTTTGGTTGCCATTGAGCATCTCCTCACGACAGTCCCGATGCAACTCGCCCGCGAGTGTCGATCCGTTTACTTCTGCGCAATATCGCAGGTGCTATGATGCGGAAGTGGAAGCAATCGTCGAGGATTCCTGCATTTGCACGCACTTTCTTGACAGGTGTGCCAATATTAAATGACAGGTGTGTGTACCCAAATATACAACAGGTGCACAGACAAGTGAACAGGTAAAGCAACGCAATAAGCAAATAAAGATACAAACATAGGTGTGTAGCCTGGGCTCGAAGAAGGTCGTTAGCAGGTGATAGCCACCAGCAGCAAGAGGCGGGCGTACCACAACCGAGTCACCTGTAAGATCCCCCTGAGTTTCGAAGAACGGACGCTTTCCGACATTCACAACCGGGGCACCCGCGTCTTGCGAGATACTGGCATGAGAACACGAGCCTGATTGAGCAATTCTCGTCGTTTACTTTGCGAAGGGAGACTGTACCGAGATCCAAAGCCCCAACCCTCAATTGTGAACCCTGCATAAACCCTCAGCCCTGTACACTAAACCCCGGAGGACCACTGGCAGGCAACACTCCGGCAGAAGCCACAGCTGTTCGATGGCGTTGTGTGGTGCTTGGTTTCCTACAAGGCGTGCTCGGCTGTAGGGTTTCAGGGTTTACATAGGGTTTAAATTAGTCTTAGGCCTGGGCTTCTGTGCGGCTTAAAAGCCGGTTCAGTGGTTCGTGTGTTCTGGTTCTAGGGACATGAGGTGACAGTTTCGGATGCTCGGCCTGAGTGCACGAGTCGCTTGCTGACTGAGTGACTGCGGCCGAGTGCCCATCCTGGCAGAGTCGTCGCAGGCCAGTTGCAAAAGGGTGACGCTTTCACTGTTCAGATATGTACACATGCACTGCATAGTCATATGTACGCACGTATGTATGTATGTATGTATGTTTGTATGTACCTGTGTGTGTGTGTGTGCTGATTGGAGGGTGTTGCCGAAAACCCTGATGGTCCCAGACTGACTCATGTCGTTCTGGCGACGAATTCATGACACATCTTTGCCAAGATGACACGACAACGCACACACACATATCAACTTCTCGCATCCCTTCTTCTGCTTGGCCACCGGGCTAGGGCTGTGAAACTGGAGAGTTTCGAACTGGTTTCGAAGAATTGATGTGGTTGGGGATGGGCAAGCGTAGTTTAGCAGGAGTTCAGCATGTGGTACGCAGGTGTGTATGGGAGAAGTGGCACCGTGCCTCTTACTGGAGATGCAGGACAGTGTGCTCCACTGCCGCCTTATGGCAGTTTTCCAGCCATGCGTCGAACAACAAATAAGAGTGAAGCGAGAGGTTTTGGCATGTTCCTGTAGAAGAGGTCAAGCATCACCCGCAGAGGAAACGAGCTTCAAGTACGTCATCTACACGCATCTGTCCGATGCTGGGAAGCAGATGGATGCTGCCAGGCCGGAGCCCGCTGGATAATTTTGACTGTGAGCTGAGGGTTTTTGGGTTTCAGGCTCTTTACCGCTACTACCTGAGTGTGTACTCCAAAACGTGAGGCGGTGGTGAGATGTGGCTGTCTCCGCAATGGCTCAAGGAGCCCTGTGTTGTGGCAGTTCTCAAGCCTCGACCTCTGAAGCTCCATGCAATGGACCAGCAGCTTCATAGCAAGATCAGCACCAGGATCAAAAGGTTTCATGGAACTTGAACGCCCCATACTTCAGTTTACCGTTCCAATTCGTCCTCGCTGCTTGCATGGTGGCCGCATGTCCTGGTTCTTCAAAGTGGCACGAGGCTGGGCACCTTATGCTGCCGCGCAGTCGGAACGCTTGGAGGCCGGTTTTCGACTCTTCCAAACAGGCAGCAAGGAACACGTGGCGCTGGATGATTGGAGAGTTGACCTGGAGAGAATGATCCAATACCGTGCAGACGATCCCTCTCGCAGTCGACCCGTGAAACGCGAGGGACCTCCAGCATCTTCAGCTTCGAGCGGACAAGGTCCCGCAAAACGGCAGAAGTTGCTCCTGCAATTAGTGGAGGCCAAGGATGAGGAGCTGTTTTGGGACCTGAGCCTGGCTTTTCAATTGTCGCCTTGTGTTCCTTTTGCAACCTGAACAATAAGAACCACGAGCCCCTGATTGATTTTCCCCAGGGTTTTCTGGGACACTCAGGAGTTCGGAAGACCTGAAAAAGGTTGCCGATCGCTTGGAGAAGCTGCAGGCCGGCTGCCAAGGTCGGATCAAGGCAGCAGTGCCCGGCAAAGGCACCGAGGAAAAGGACCCCCCGCTTCCGGTTTGAGTGGGAGCTATAGGGTTTTGTAGATTGTAGGACCTACTACTATACAGTTGTGTTTGGTTCGGGATCCCAGGTGTACGGTTATTTGGAGTGAGATTTGGCCAAGCTACAGGCCGGCTGCCAAGGTCAGATCAAGGCAGCAGTACCTGGCAAGGGCACCGAGGAAAAGGACCTCCAAATAAATGGGGTTGCGGATTTTGCAGGCTGTGGTTTGCCTTCTGTGGGATCTAGGGCCTAGTCTAGGGGTCATGGCAGTTGACTTTAGATCGGGGCACTGAAGGGTTTCATTGAAAAGGATCTCGTGTGGACCAGCTGCGAGTTCACCAAGGCCCACGGAGCGGCTCTGCATTCCCCCGTGGTGTTTACATATGCAAGGCCTGGGCCCAGGAGTCCTTATGCATGGCAGCTAGTAGGTTAAGTAGCCTTTGCTGGCTACCACGGTGAAATCCCAACAGTTCACCTGTCGTGCCTCCGAAGAAGCTGGACAAGTGAGTGGCAAACGACCATGTATGACCAGCGTAGAAGGCCCTGCCTGCTTCCCCGAAGAAGACCAACCCTTTGCAAGGTTGCATGCGAGAGTCGGCAGCCGCCCTGTCCTCTTTCAAATCCGACAAGCGAATATCGTTAATGCGGAAGCGGAGTACAACGCCTTTAAGCTGAGCTACTTAAAGGATGCTCTTGAGGGGGACCTCATTTGGCCCCCGGCACCCTATGAGTGGTCCGCAGATGGAGAGCATGACACCGAGATGAGATGCTGGGTTTCTCCAGTAGTGCACTTGTACCCTGTTTAGGTCTCGGTGCCAAACGCCAGGCAAAGGGTGCCCTTGTCGTTGAGAGACTGCCGAACTTAGGACTGATGCCACTGTCGATGATGGAGGATATCCGCTCAGCATGTGGAGTTCAGGACGATCGACCGGCCAACAAATGGTTCCAAGCCATCCTGGGGACTCTCGTATCAGTTGTGAAGCAGGAAACCGAGAAGAGGACCGACCTCGACTTTCAAACGGCATTCGAGGAGATCGAGGAATGGTTTGACGATTACTTCGAGCACCTCCCAGACAGCGTGATGACCATGGCAGAGCATCTTGCAATCAAAGCGGCGGCGGGAGCTGCCCCCGCGGCTGCTGGCGCAGCCTAGACCCTAGACCTGCTCCAGCCAGTGCTCAACGGAAATATTCATCCGGAGCACTCAGCAGCAAATGAGTTCTTGCTGTAGTTTTAACTCATGCAGGTGAGGGAACCTCCCCCAGAGTAGTTTCAGGATGCGGTTCGGTTGCAAGGCTCCCAAGGTGATACGGATGGTTTTCCTGTTGGTTGTACTTGCGATTTGGTCGCTTGGAGTTCTTGACGTGTTTGGAGGTGTCGTGTCATAACAGTCGGTAGAGAACATAAAGTCACGAATTCATATCACGACCTGCTCGATTTCAAATCTGCGGGGACTCGATTCGTCCTGGCTCAAGTCTATTCGAGCACTGCAGGCCACTGCTGATTCACACTTCGAGTGTAACCCTTGGTTTACTTGTGACTACTGTAGACCTGCGCGTGAGTGATAGCATTGTCGAACCTACTACCAGGAAAGTTGTGGAACACCCCGTCAAACAAAGTTGTGGAACACCCTGCAGTACTAATAACAAGCCCTACGCATTTTTCAACACCCATGAATGAAGCTATGAAAACCCCAAGCTCTTCTTCTTTTCTAACACCCGTTGAGGTATGAACTTCATAGGCCCTACAAGCCCTACACCTCTTTATAACACCCATGAAGCTGTGAAAACAGTATGCGCTATCCCTTTTCTAATTACCTTATGAAATTCATATGCCCCAAGCCCTACACCTCTTACGTTTTATGAACACCCACGAAGCCAAACCCGAAACCCCTCTGAAGTCTTAGAACACCCATGAAGCTAAATCCTAGAAAACCCTAAGCTCGCTTTGCAGGCGCTCTGGGGCCTGCGGGCTGATGGCGCTCACGGAGACGGCAGATGGGCTGCTGGTCTTCGGCCCCTCAGCGAGCATCCAAGCCTTCAGGGATCTGAATATTTCGATGTGGTATAGAGTTCCATATAGGCAGCCGCCCATCGCGAAAATAATGAGGCCTGTCACGATCCCTCTACATGGCATCTGGGGTTTGCGTTTGGAGATTTGAAACTTGGAAGTCGGGGGCCAGCTTGCATGTAAGAGCTTTCTCAATGAGATCGCAGCATCTCGCACGCAGCGTTCTTTGCTTGGGGTAGCAATTGATTTTAGCCCCGCTCTGTCGCAGGCTTTTGCTTTTAATGGTGCACTCGACCAAGTGAGGCCAACGATCGCAGTACGTTGGCGCTTTTCCTGGCTACTTCCACTGCGTGCCCGCAGGGGTGGTAGATGCACCTGACCTGAAGCCCAACGTGAATTCTATTTAACATAGATTAATAAAAGCCCTCGGAGGTCAAGGTATCAGCCAAAGGTAACGACAGCTCGCTCTGCGAAAGTTTCGACTCCAGAGCTCCCGCCCCAGAGAGTAAGTTGCTTGCTTCTTTCATGTAAAGTGCTCGGTTAAGTTTGGAAAGAACTGAAGCATGATTTTCCATTATGAAGAAATTTAAGAAGGGCTCTTTGTGCTGACGGCGCCCTTGGAGTCACGTAGACCCCTTTTAAATCACGCCCCTTGCTTCCTTCATAAGGACTACAATCACTGTCATGGAATCCTTCATGGCCCTCCCGAAATCTTTTCAGAAAAAGTAAGAAGGAGCTCAAAGAGGAGGTCGGCGTGGTCTGGGCCGGCGTCAGTCGCTGCGAGTTCTACGCCCTCTTGGACACCGGCGCAGAGCAGGGCCACAAGCACCCCAGAGAAGGGTCTTTTTGGCCCGAAACGTAGGTAAAACAACAAGCCCAACACCCAGAAAAGGCTGTTCTTCTTCTACATGCTCTTGGTCCAGGTAGGGCAGAACTTAGGATTAGGAACCAGAAGGATGGGGGTCGGTCGAAAGCTTTTTTTGCGCTGGTGTATCAAGCTTCTGACATATTTGGCTGCGTCGAGTTTGTGCAGTAGTTCATCTCTGCAACATGAACCGCCGCTTCCATTGTACCGGGTGTTGCGTAACCTCTTGCATGACTTACGCTTGAGTGTTCCTGCATGTTCGTAGAAGGTGCAAAAAGGATGTCTGCGTGACCTGCGACTTTGTCGAATCTGTGAAGCGCTTTTGCTATGCATGTACACGTCACGCTGCTCAGGTACGAGTTTGTGTTGTACCTTCGGCTCGCCCTCTCCGCCAGCGACGTCTTCAGGCAGAGCCGAGGGACCAGTGACCAGCATCAGGTCAAAGTGAACTTTCAAATGAAGCTGGAGGGTACGAGGTTTTCAGCTGTTCGGAGGAGCTTGGAAAGCAGGAAGTCTTTGTCTGCGCACAATCTGCAATGTCCAACCGGCGCCCAGCGCCTGTGAAGTCTGAGGGCTGGGAAGTAGCTTTTGAAGTGCCGGTATAGAGCACACCGCATCAGAGCTTGCAGTTCGAATGAGGCTGTATCAGAGCGCCATCGACAAAAAGGAGCACGAGGTTGGGTGTTGTTCCGCTGGTTGGTTGAACCCTCGCAAGTCCACAGTGCGCGCTGAGGGGTAGGTGGAGGATGCTTTTCGATGTTTCAAGTGCAAGAGTGCAAGAGCAACGACGGAGAGACTGGACTGGACTGGAGCCAGTCTTTTGCGCACCCCGGATCGGCTTCCCTGACAGGCCTTCCTCTTTCTGCAGCCTGGGTCCAACACGGCAAGGCCTGTGGCCCCAACTGGCCTGCCCGTCGTCAGCGTTGACGACTTCCTGCAGCTCGGCAACCCGCAAGCCCTGCTAAGCCTCCAGCCGCATTAGGCCTGCCCTGCTGAAGAGATAAGTTTGGAGCGGTACTTTGATAGATCCCGGAGAGACTGAGCTAGAGAGATCCGGGCATCACGAACCAGGTGCTCTCCCTTGCAAACACCGTTTCATTCTTAGGTCTGGAGGCTACCTCATCACAGACGTCGCCCGGAGAGCTCTTCAGCTTTTTCATGCCGAAGACTACAAGACCTGACGTGATTTTTGGATGACCAGCACCAGCCTCGACCAGCGACCATGCTACGCTAATGTGCTGGACTCCTGTGGTCTTCTCCGATGCCACCGCTTGTGCTGCGCATGATTGCGCAAGAGAAGCTGCAGACCCAGATGATTTCTGGCATGATTTGCTGAGGAGCGCGCCGTGTAGCTGGGCTTCGTCAACTTTGGTCCAAGAGCCATCGGTTTGGCGAGGTTGTTGGGTGGCCAAGCGGACAAGCCGAAGACGTGCTAATGAGGAATGCACGAGGCCGGCGTGCCACTTTGAGAGAGGCAGCATCGGCAAAGGCATTTTAGCAGGTCCTCGCGAGAGGGACGATGAGGGCGGAGAGTGATGATCGCGGTTGCCTCCAGTACGTTCGCCACACCGTCCTGACAGAGGCAGCTTCCTAGGGCTGGGCAGCATGCCCTTTTCTCTTGGACCTGGCACTCCAGAGGTTGAACTCGCAAAAGGTGCCGTTTGAGAGCGAGTCTGCACCTGCTCACAGCTGCACGATAAAGAACACCCAGCGTCCCAAAGTATCTCTTGGAAATTTGTTGTTTTCGATTCGTACCTGGTCTCTCCGCTAAGACTCTGGAGCCCGTTGGCACTTACAGCCACTTGCGTTTCAACAAAGCCTCAAAACTGAAGCACTGAATACTGAATACCGGCAGTATGGAACAGCTATGCCCTACCCCGAAGTCACAAAGATCTACTCTGGGAGCGGACCGAAAAATCGAATTTCTGAATGAAGGTCGAAGCTCTTAATTCGTTGAAGAGGGGTCCTGCCGAGGTTCCTGCGATCCCTAGCCCGCGTCTTGCCGCAGCGCGTGCGTGAGTTCACACCGCAAGGCCTATGCACCTGTGGCACTGGGGAGTTTTAGAAATTAGGGAGCAGAGCTTGAGAACAGAACCTGAAGCCCTAAGTTTTGGAACGCCTCGCCTGGCATGTCGCAGTTGCGGGAGTCGAAGTGCAAGGGGCAGGGAGGCTCGAGGGTTTTGAGCAGAACCCGGAGATACCACTGCATGCAGATAATAGATCTTCCAAGTGGTGAGAGTCGAGTCTGCATCGTCTGAGAGGGTTTCTTACGGGTTTCGGGCTAGGGCTAGGGTTAAGGTTTGGGACATTAAGGTTGCAGCGTCTGAGAGTTACGTATGTTTACGTTGGGTTTGCTGCATTATGAGGATTTCGGTCTTGGGGTTTAAATGATCGAGGAGCATTTGGGGCCCAGTGTTACGGCGGTGGAGGCTGAACAAAGAGTGCTGGAGCCCTAAATCCTAAGAGTAAAGAGGTCGGAATGACTACGTCGCATGTTGCTCCACAGTATCCTCTTCTTGTCCGTGATGTTGTTTTTGCATATGAAGGTACCACAAACTATTAATCTGTTACTCAGTAAGGCCCCTAAAAGCTGCATTAAGTGTTTGAAGTCACACCCTACATGTAAGCCCACAGGAATCTGCATCACGGCACATGGCCTCGCCTTGATGCAGTGGCGGCCCTAGTCTTCTGCGAATCGGGGCTTTAGGGTTTGCAGGTGAAAAGGTCTAGGGATGAGGGTAGATATGAAGTTTTGTGAAGTGCACCAGGCTGGGCATGCTGGCACGTTAGGGTATGGAGGTTGTAAAAACAAGGCTCCGGAATGGGAGCGCATGGGATTTGGGAGTCTGGCATTGATGTCAACTGGGTTTCATGGAGTACGAAATGTTGGCTCGTGTGGCTCCTTAACAGTTTGCCTCTGCATCCTCGCTTTGTGTTGTGAGCTTGTCTCAATCTCGATGACCACGGGCCCCCTGCCCCTTGCATGGGAACCCGAGCACTGAACTCCCAAGCTTGGACACATACAATTGGGGATGTTTCTCAACTTTCGATTCGTGTTATGGTGGACTGTGACGAGACTGGAGTGCCCCGTCTTCATGGGCAAAAGACCGGTGCAGGTTAAAGTTTAAATCTATCGCCTTCACCTATGGACCCATGAAGAAGATAACAGTTGAGCAGCTTGAAGCCAGATATTTGTGAAGACATGCGAGTGCCCTGGCAGTTGACAGAAAAATCAAAGACAAGCAGGCCGCCCTTCCTCAGCTGTCGCCCGTGCATCCTTCTCGCAGGCATTCCTCATGCTGGCATTATCATGTGCGTGGATCGAAGAAGCAAAAGAGCGTGTCGCTGTCGATGGGTTCCCGTGCGTTCTGACTTGCATTGACATGGTAGCAGGCCCGTGCAGTACATGACTTGCATGATCTTGTGGTGCATCCCAATAGCTGTTCGGTCCAATGGCATGGCCGGGCAACTGGGACAATTGGCGGGATGCCAAGTGGCAGTATGCCAACTGGCAGACTGCCAACTGGCAGCAGGCCTCGGCGGCCGGAGCCGTGCCTGCAGAAGGAGACGCTTCATATCGCTCGGCAGCTGATCCTTGCTGCTTTCTTCTGTGTTTTCAACATATCGTTCCCTGCCTTCTACTGCAAAACCCTGAGGCCCTGCTCAACTCCAACACCCTAAACTCTAAACCCAGATCCTCAAAATCCCCCATCCCTAACGTTGAACCGGACCGCCATGCGGGAGCCAAAGAACCACTTCTTCGTCCATGGTATGTTCCAATATTTCCAGGAGGCCAGCAGCCCGCTCCTGGGGTGGCTGCTTGGCCTACAGATTTATGAGTGTGCGCGTGTGTGGCTTTATCGGGGAACTCACTTTTCCAGCATCGTCGGCACCATACGGTAACGTTCGATATACGTCACGACCTACTAGTACATATGTTTCAGCCACCATATCTTTGTCACTCAGCCTCGGATTGCATGGCTTAAAAACGGACCTCCTGCAATCGATGGGGCCTCGTGGGAATTAACGATGCAAGGTGGTAAGTGCAAGCCTGCAGCAAAGGACGGTTAAGAGTAGTTTTTACATTATGGTTTCAGTATTTCGTGTTATTTTGCACCCCTAACTTGTGTTTTCCCTGTGTTTAGTTCAGCTAGGGATGCTGCCTCGGTTCAGAAGACGGATGTTACGATACTTCTGAATTGGCATAAGGAATTGAGCGATGGAGACGAGGGCACGAGCAGTGGCGAAGGCAGCTCGGCCTGTGATTTGCAGCGGTGTGGCCAGCCTGGCAGCCTAGCATGGCTTGGCTGCACAGCAACTCCCACGGAATTCTGTCCAGTCTAGCTTCTGAAACCTGGTGCGTGGTCGGAAGAGTGCTGCGGCCAAGGCCTCACCTCTAAAGATTCTGTAGGCTGCGGCTCTGTTGGCAGGAACAGGAATGCAATACAGCCAGAAGACAGACTGCTTGCTGAGGTGCCGATGGCACATCCCTCAAGGTGCAAGTCCGAATCATGGCCCGCGGGGTGGATTTGGGCTTCCGGGTGCAGATTGGGCGAACTTGTTTTTTTGTTTCCGTCTTTGCATGCTTTTTTTGCTTTACGAGAGGCAGCTTAGCAAGCTTGAGGCCTAAACTAATGAACAGAAGGCTGGGTACCTCAATCCCGGTTGTTGGCTCCTGTCTACAGAGAACTGTTGAGAGTGTACACAAGCACCCTGGGAAAAAAATCCCTGAGACGCGGCTCTCGCTGTGGCGCCGTGCATAGTGGTTGCGCTCATGTCAGATCATCTTCACAGGATGGCGGCCGACACGGTTCTCCAGGAAGCCGGGCTACATTGCAAATTCATGATTATACATGGGCCATATGTTGGCCTCCAACACTCTGAATTTTGTCTGTACTTGGGGGAACGTCCTTCCGCAGGGGAAGCATGCGCGCCGTGCTCCTGAATCCCGAAAGGTCTCTAGGCGATCTTTTGCTTGTCTCCTCAGGGTGTCCTCCTGTTCTGCTGATGGTCGTCCTGGTAGTGGTCCGGTGGTCTTGCTTGTCTCGGTCGTCATGGTCCTGATGGTCGTCGTGGTGCTCCATCACAGCTTGGGGATATTCGCTGGCATAATCTTAGCGCGCCGAAACAAGCGACCCAGGCTTGAGCCTGCCGACGGCCAGCAGCATCAGACATGTCATGGTTGAGCTGGAGGAACGAGAAGGAGCTGACTTTGGTGCTCAGTACCTCTTCGCGGCGTCCTCCACCGAGCGGCTGCACTCGGAGGCTTGCAGGGCACCGGTCTTGCTAGGGATGCTTTCGAGCTTCGTTGGCGGGGTCATTACTTGGATTGCACCTCTTGTCTGATGTAACTCCTCCAATACTACAGCCAGTGCTTACCTGAAGGCTTGAGGGAAGTTTGTAGGCCCCATGGTCCGAAAGCAGGGCACTGGTCCAGTTGTTCGTGGCTTAGATCTCGAACCCCCAGGATGAAGTGGAAGATGGAGCTCAGCTCTTTCTGTCCAGTTTGGAGGACGAGCGGTTGCTGGCATTGCTTCCAGACTCTTGGCACATGTACTTTCCCGTGGCCGTGCCACAGGCATGGGCGATCATTTCTGCAAGTTTCGAAAGTTGGACCTGCTTAGAGTGGTTGACGTAGTGTCGACTGAGACCACCGAGGACCCTGTGCGAATGCTTGTGAACCCGGTCACTCTGGTAGACGTCGTCCTGGATTTGGACCGGCCGCCCGTAGTCCACGAGCGAAGCCTGCAGGGCAAGCTCAGCAGAAGGATCCTCCATAGCTGCCCCATCTTGAGACAGCAAGACTTGGACTCCGTTTACAGACACGAGCTGCTGTCTGGACGATGGACACCGGACACTCAGCTGACTTGGATCTGATCTTTCAGCTTGAGCTGCTTCTGGGGATCGTGGTAGACCGTAAGCTCACAGCAAGCAGCAATTTCGCAGAACAGACGTCTGCCGCTGGCATCGTGCTAGGACGACCGCTCTGGCATCTCGGGAACTCTGCACCGGGTGTCGCGCTTGCTTGACCCCTACGACGGGGGCAGCTTGATAGGTTTGACTCTGCGCATGGCACATCCGATCTACGGCTTGACTCGTGCGGCACCACAGCTACAGAGAGTGATCGAGGCCTGCGGGTGGCTTCTTGTTGCCATGCTCGGAGTTCTGTTTGCCAGTTGGTCAATGTCATCGGCAGTTGTCAGTAGCACGGCCCAGCAAGACGAACCTCGCTTGCCCTCTCTGCATTCTACTTGTAGTACAGGGTTGTTACCCAAAGCATCACAAGCAGTTGCATCGCTCTCCTCGAAAGGCTGGGCGATCACTTCTCGTTCTTGGTCCTCCCGGCTGCGGAAAGACCACGCTCTTGCGTGAGATTGCTCGGGTGTTGGATGCCGAACTGAACCGCCGGGTGTTTCTGGTAGATACATCCAGCGAGATTTGTGGGCTCCCCGGCGATATGACATTCTTAGACGATCCTTTGCATGTGTTTCTAATAAGCACAACCTCCGAAACAGCGTCACCTACTCTGTTGCCTTGACTAGTTTCCGATCCTCTCTCCCTAGATGCACGTATGGGCAACTGCAGTTTCGCACAGGCGACGTGCGACTTAAGCAAAGTTTAAAAAGTCGCGACTGCAGCAGAGACACACACTCCCCCTTTGGGAGTGGGACGCGTAATCTACATGCTTGAGTGCAGACTGTCAGGTTCGGCAGAAGCGCTCATCTGGCCGTTGGCGGAACGACTCGGAGGATGCAGGTGGCCAACCGCAAGGAACAGCACGAAGACATGCTCAAGGCTGTTGCCCGGCCGTCCTGTTGCATGGTGGTTTCCTTGTCTTCGTATTGAGGATTCAACAGCTCCCCCGATCCAGGGTTCCACCATGGCTTCGTTTGTGACAGCCCGTGCAACCGAGGTTCAGAATCACACCCCAGAAGTCCTGGCAGCTTGGCCGCCTTTCACCCCCTTATTGCAGAAGCAGGGGGTGCTGGTAAACAGAGTGGCTAGGATTGGACGCAAGTCGAGCCGTGACTTGCCAAGGTCATCGACGAGATCGGAAGCCAAGAAGAGGTAAATGCTGCCGGTCTTATTGGCTTCAAGGGAGTCTCATTGGTGGCCACGGCGCACGCGAACAGCTTGCAGGAAGCCATGAAGAACCCAGGCTTGCAGCCCCTCTTCGGAGGACTCGAGAAAAGCACCGTCTCCGACCAAACAGCTCAACGCTCCGGCGGCCGCAAATTCGTGGAGCAGCGTCGGACAGAGCCTGTGTTTCAGAGTCTCGTGGAGGTGGGACCGGAGACTTGGGTCGTCCACGAGGTGCTGGCGGACTCCGTGGACCAGATTCTGGCGAAGCAACCACCGAGGACATCATGGGTGCAAGCACCGTGCAGCCCGGTCCCCGTCGTGGAGCAGCGCTCAGGAGATGACAACACACCCTGACATTGTAGGCCATGGCGGCACGCAAGTGGTAGCTGAAGGCAGGCTTTGGACATATAGAGTATAGAGAAATTACACGGATCAGGTTAGCATATGCTGCAGAGGAGTCCGACTGAGCCGGCAAGCTCAGCCAAACGATGCCGGAGCTCGGCCGGCAGTGGCTTCCACAGCTCCTCGCCGCAGCCTCACCACCGAGGAGATCGAAGCAAGGCGATCAAGACGGGAGCGCGAAGTCTCAGGCACATAATCCCTGCAGTGAGTCGGGCTCTTGCCAGTGCACGCCGTGCAGCGTCGCAGAGCAGGTGCAACTCTGACGCATCTTTCGTGGACTGTCGTAGGCATGCCGTGAGGCAGAGCCTACCGCCTCCGCTTCGACGGCGGCGTGGATGGCGGCGACAATGCCAGGAGTCAGCAATTCAGCCTCAGCATGTGTTGACTGAAAGGTTGTAGCAGCGACTCATATACTACAACCTTTACACCCCGAAAAACCCTATACCGACCTATACCCTCTAAAATTACCCTATAAAACCCTGCAAAACCCCATGCCGTGTCATCTCCGTGTTGGAGATCACTCAGGGCCCTGGCGGTGCAGGCGCTATTCTGGAGCGCCTGCGCCCGGTCACCGGCCGTGCAGAACGGAGGCTTGGGCATATATATATATATATATATATATATACATATATACAATATGTATATGTGCCACTGATATGATCTATTATGCCAGTCGCGAGGTTCACCGATGCAAGGATCATGTAAAGTCGTGGGAAGGGCTGTGCATATGCATGCAGGGGGTTTGGATCGCGAATATCGGTGTGAGTTTTGTAAGCACCAGGCATGCTGCAACAATCTTGTTGAAACTTTCAGTGTGATGCAGACCTGTATACGTCACTCTTGCTGGCAGCAGAGCTAGGGTAGCAATAAAGATTGTGTTGCGACGCACCTCGGGGGTGCTTGTTGTGCTGACGAGCCCCTTAGGGGCACAGTTAACGTACAAGTCACAAGCTAGTCGCATTCCCACCCTTCTGTGAAGCTGCAAGGTCTGCGAAGAAGTGGATGCTCTACGTTCCAAAGTCTTGTCCGGAACTCATGGAATATGCCGGGCTCTTCATCGGCCTCTGCGGAGTAAAAGAGGTGTTGGAGGACCTCGAGCCACAAGCGGACGTTCTCTTTGTAGAAGGCGACTGCTCCCCGGATGCATTGAAACCACATGCTCAGCCTGTGCATCCTCAATTCTCGGGTCCCTGCAGCATTGAGGCAAGTTCGTGGTTGACCGCCACTGTGTCGGAGCAGGCTTAGATGCCCGGGGAGCGGATGGCTTGCATGAGGAGCATCCTGCAGTGGCGGAGAAACTCGATTCTTGGCAGGCAAGAATGCAGCAGCACCTATGGCTTTAGCTTAAGCAATCGCTGCCGTATTTGTGGAGCCTGTGAGGAGCAGCTAGCTTGCCGAGTTGATGAGGCATGTTGGTGGCATGTTGTGGTGGACAAGTTTGTGTAGAGAAGGGTTGCTGCATACTCATGTGGCACCAATCGTGGCAAACGGTTCAAGGGATGGTTGCCCTGTGGACAGGTGCTACACGCCCTCCGAAGACAACTACTGGTTGAAGTGAGATGGCGCAGGAGAGCTCGCAACAAAGCCGCCGACAAGCTGACGCACGAAGCGCGGATGCACAAACAAAGTACAACGGTGGTGAATGATGAGATGGCGGTACTGCTGCGTCCGTTCGACACCGAGCTCGTTCCCACTTTGTGGCACATCGATGCAGCACATCCCATGCTGTGTGCGACAGAGGGCCACCATGTCCGGCATCCGCGACAGAAGTTTGGGTGGGTGGGCCTTCAGTTGAAACATGCGTCTGCGGACGGGTCCTGCAGCTTAGCAGCCGGGGACTCAGGGCGTTCTTTGCACAGACTGTCCGTCATGCAGCGAGAAGCAGTCGAAGTCCTGTGCCTCACAGAGTCAGTGCTTTTCGAAGGTAGGTAGGTAGGTAGGTAGGTAGGTGTGTCTGTGTGTGTCTTTTTTTTTGTGTGTGTGTGTGTGTGTGTGGGTGGGTGTGGGTGTGGGTGTGGGTGTGGGTGTGGGTGTGGGTGTGGGTGTGGGTGTGGGTGTGGGTGTGGGTGTGGGTGTGGGTGTGGGGGTGGGTGGGTGGGTGGGTGTTTGCGTGCCCCCGTTCTGTAAATGTAAGATTGCTTAGACACTTGGCTTCCTTCTGAGAGCCTTGTCGCGAAGGTGAGACTGGAAGGCCACTGGCAGAGTCGAGATTCTTTCCTGTTGGGCCTGGTACCACGGCCCCAAAACCAGGTCGACTTTAGCAGGGCTGGGAACTTCTTGGCCCAGGATGTCGGATTCTGGTTCAGCCCAAGGTCAGGCACCGTCTGCGGCAGTTATACCAGCAAAGATGGCACTGTGCGCCGGGCTGCATTCATTCTTCCATCCTTGAGAGTGGCCTCCGACCTTCGAGCAGGATCGCGAAGTCGCATTGGGTTGAGAGACGTTGAACGAAACTGGCTCAGCAGCAGTGCTCGCTGGGCAATGACGCTGCGAAGAGGACGTCTCGAATTCTGGTTTGCGCGGGGAGATAACGGTCTCGAGTCGTTGGGGCACGTGAGCTTCAGCTGCATTTTGCATGGCTGTTTCCTGCGGATAACATTGAAGCCGTCCCGACTTAGCCCACCAAGTCCCCTTTCCGAAGGTGCTGGCCCTGGGGGGACACCTTGCCGGAAGGCCAGTACTCTGCAGCCGTGCTGTTCAAGCCGCGCAAAACTTTGCGGTATCCGGCTTTGCGGGATGGGGGTGCAAGACACCTTGTAGCTGCACCTTCTCACAACGCGGGAAAGGTAAAGGGTAAGGGCAAGGGACACGGTAAATCACCTCCCAAACGACCATGCACAGTGAGTGCCAGCCTGGTTCTGCTGGGGCACTTTGAGGGTGCGTTCGCTTCTCCTGGCTGGCAAGACTTGCCCGCGAATCCCAAGCCTGATCTGGTGGATCCCACAATGGGTGCAGTGCTGAACCATCTTCGCACGTGCTGCTCAAAGCCCGACTCACCAACAGAAGGCCAGCTGAGATACCTCGCAGATTGCATTGTGGCAAGATCAGAGTTTCGTGGCGATCCTCTGTTCTCGGATGCCAGGAACTTTTTGAGTGCTCCGAATGCCGTGGCGAGATTGGTGGAGTGGACGCGGCCCGGCACTTTACCCAACAGCCCCTTCCAGACTGAAAGATCCAGTCCTGGCATTCGCATGGATGGCCGACTTCTGTATCACCCTCAGCAGGATAACGGAGTGGAGTTTGTGCAGTTTGCCGACAGGCAAATGCTGCTTGGAGTGCGTTGCCATGGGAACTGGGAGAGGCGTGACGGCTTCCTGCTTGGCGTGACCCCAGCCGATTGCGATTTCGAAGGGTCGTCGTGGCTTTCCAATCTTGGTTATTTCTTCTCGCCCCGCAGCCGGAGCATTATCGGACGAAGCGGTGTCAACTTTTCGTGGCCAGACACATTGCATGGTGTTTGGCTGAAGCAGCTGCAAGAGAACGGCTACCAACATGGAGATTCCAGTCGAGTAGAAGGGGGTCTTCGTCTCGTGCACGGGGCTGGAGATGAAGCAGCAGCGTGGGGCCTGCGCTTCTCGGAAGCAGGAAGGCTGGAGGTGTTTTACAAGCCCTGCAAGTGGTACCAACAGCAGCACCAGCCGCACTTAGAGAGCAACATGTGGCTGAAGCTTGGAGAATTGCCGTGGGATCCGTGGGTCAACTTTTCTGGGCACGACTGGCGTTTGACTATCGTCTTCAAGCCTCGTCATGGAAGCAAGTGCACTGCAAACCTTTCCCCAAAAGGCGGTAGGGGGGGAAAGAGCAGAGGCCGAGGAGGCAAACGAGGGAAAATTCCGAACCGACTCCAGGACCCCCCTTACTTGGAAATCCTCGAGACATGCGATGATCATCTTCTTGGATGTCCGGCATTTATTGGTGGAAGGTGTCAGTGGAAGGGGAAGGGACCGCCGCTTTTCCTGGCAGACTTTATAGAAAAGCTGGAATGTTGGGAAGAGGAATTCTTTTACAGGCGCTTGGCACATCCCAATGGAGGCGGCTGACTTGGGCTTCTGCAAGCTCCATGAGCGGACACACCAGAGGCCAAATTCTTGGAATGCAAACCCTATGGTGAAACGGTGAAACCTATTTCGATAATATAATAGAACATATTGTTTATTCGCTTATATCTCGTTACTGTTTTTATATGAATTGTAGATTTTCTGTTGACCTATTCTTCTAATATTCATTATCATCTCTATCTTCGTTCCTACTCGATCTTCCGAGTTTCTCATTTCATTCTATCTCTGCCATCTCCTCCCATCTATGACCTATCCTAAATTTTCTGGCAGATCTTGCAGATTTTATGAGTTCTATCTTAGAAATAGTAGACATAGTAGCTTATATCTTGTATTTTTAGTTATTTATTTAGTTTTTTTTTTAGTATTCTCTAGTGTGGATTTGTTCGACTTAGATTCGGGATAGATAAATAGATATACAGGTGTATGTGTATATATATATATACATACATATTCAATATTCAGATTTCTTTCTTTCTTTAAATTTTGCTCTTTCTTTCTCATGTGAGGCCTCTCTTGGATCGAGATATTTTCTTTACTAGCTCTATTATAACATTTTATAACTAAACTGGTTGAACATTATATATATATATATATATATAGAATTTTTCTTGTATAGTGCTTATAGAATCTTATAGATTTCTCTAATAATAATAAAATTGGGTCGTGCTAGTTACGTCCGTGATTCTGTGCGTAGTTCTGCCCCCCCTGTAATTTGGTCTTTTTGTCTGGGCCGTGTCCGGATTCGCGCTTGGTTCACGTCTGGGTTCGGGTCTGGTTCGTATATGCATTCAAACATCAATTTGGCGTCTGGTTCGTGTCCGGTTCATATTTGGGTTAGTGCCTGGTTCGTGTTTGGTTCTTGCTTGGTTCGTCGTGTCTGGTTCTGGATTTCGGTTCGGATTTGGATTGGTGTCTGAGTTGGTTTATTACGATAACTAGCGTAACGGGTCTTAGATTTCTACTACAATAATAATTCAATTCCGGACGTGCGCTACTAAATCGCGGAGGAGAAAGACGATAGAAGATAGAAGAGAGAAAAGAGATTTATTCTGATTGGTGGCGCGAGGGAAAATGCACAAGGAGGGAAGGGAGGAGAGGAGGGAAAGACGGGGAGGAACGAAGAAATAGATAGAGAGGAGAGAATGTTTAGAATGAATAGAGGAGAGATAAAGATAAGAGAAGAGAGAAGATAAGAGTTAGAAGAATATAGAGAATAGAGATCCAAATAATTAATAAAGAGAAGAAGAATAGATTAGAGAGATGATCAAAGAAAGAGAGAAAAAGAGAAAAGCCGGGAGAAGAAAGGATAATTATTATATAGATTTCGTAAAGATTATCTATAATAAAAAGATTGGGGAATAAGAAAATATTCGAAATAATCGAATAGAATCTTCACAAGGTAGATTTTAATCGCGACAATAGAGATAATAAATATGAAATTAAGATAGATGATACGCTATATAAATATATATATATATAAAGATAATAGATCATATGATATCAAATAATAATAATTATAAATATCATCACGGCAGAGAATAGATTATATAATAGATTATGATTTTTGCTTTATGGAATATTTATAATAATGAAATTTCTAGATAATGATGATTTGAATTCATTTCTAAGTTCTAATAATAAATATCGATATAAATTTCTTTATGATGAAAATATAGATCTTAATTCTAAAAATTGGGAAATTTTGGATAGAAATTTCAATAGTTATATTCTATTATATTGTTTTTTTGGGAAATATCTTCTTCTGCAAATTTTGAATGATAAATTCAAAATTAAATTCAATTTCTTTTGAAATATGAAATCTTAAATAAAGAAATGAATTATAGAATTCTTGATTATATTAATATTTCTATATCATATTGAAAATCGGATTCTATATTAATATCGCGATTCATTTTATTTCCAAAAATAATAATGATTCAGATCTCAAAAATTATCTAATAAAATGGTGTCGTGCCGCTTGCGTGCATGATTTTGTGCGCACCTTGGTCCCTCTGGAATGCGGTCGTTTGCGGCATCTCTTCCTGTCTCGAGCTACTAAAATCCTGGAAATTTTAGTACCGCGAGCACTTCTCTCCCGGCTCTAAAACCTCGGAGATTTTGGTAACTTTAGGAAATCTCACGGTATTAAAATTATTCAAATTTTGGTAGCTTTAGGCTGAGATGCTCCCGGTAATAAAATCTCGGAGATTTCATCTCGGGTAGTGTAGGCCTGGCGTCATGTCTTTTTGGAACACTTCGACGTACTGGTCGGCCTCCTCTTGCGAGGGGCATTCGTTCCAGTAATCATACAGGGTAATGCCAGTCATCTCGGCGAAGTCATAGGTGTCGTTCATGAACCTCATTCCGCGCGATCCCTGCACTGCGAGCTTGGTCAATCGCTGCTTGTCGGCCTCAGCCTTTGCAAGGCGAGCTCTTTTTGCAGCGTGCTCGGTGCCAGAGTCGCCAGACAGAATGCCTCCACCATAAATGGATGCGTCGATCGGCATCGGTCGAATATCGCCAGAAGACGAAGCTGCAGTACTCGCCGGGGTAACGGCCTCCACCTTAGGTGGGGCTTTGTTCCATTCCGGCGAATTGATCTCCTCTTCTGTTGCGAACACACCGGGTGCGACGCTGATGACGTTCTGAATCTTCATCTCCTTGAGGAAGTCGGGGACCTCAGGCGCAGGCAGTTCGGCGTGACTTTCGTCACGCTTCTCCTCCCAGTGGCGGCAGAATCTTTTGAACGTGCAGCAACACTCAATATCGCAGGACTTCGTGGTAAAACACAAGCGGAATACGGTAATCTGCAACTGCCTCCGAGTTGGAAATATCATCTGGTTGTATCATCATCCTTGCCAGAGTGCTGCACGGCTTGATGCGTAGGAGCGGAAAGAGCAATATCCTAGATCGTGCGCCCATATCTGGCGACCAAGTCCAAGCTTCTTACCTCATAAGTTACAAGATGATCCGCGGAATTACGCCCCCGGATCAGAGGCCACGACGGCGCCTGCAGCACCGCGCAGCCCTCTAGATTGCACTTCAGGACATCCACGTCAACGAACTGCAGCTTAGCCTGTTGAAATATTTATTCGAATGTCTACGATGAAAAGGCCTTTCTTGATGAAATAGAATCGATTCATATGTAGTTCGCACATTCTGCCATACAGGAAGCATAAAGCTAGCTCGGCTCGTGGCTTTGACGGCATGTGGATTAGCATGCTCGGCTGAGTTGACGCCCGAAACCTATCGAAATATATTCAATTATATGAGTGGCAAGAGGCGGAAGCCAACGGAAGAAGTGCGCGGCAAGTCCAGCAAGTGCAAGAGGACATAGAACCCCCAGGCAGGCAAATATAAGCGGATATGCAACTCCCAGGCGGGGTATGGGTGCCTGTACCAAGCTACTAGAAGCAGCGGGTCCACTCTAGTATTAAGAAATTCGGTGAGCAATTATCGGGAAGAAGAAGATTCAAAGATTTAGATGAGCAAAAATATTTTTTTTTATTGAAAAATATTTTTTTGAATATATATATATATATATTCTAAAATCAAATTTATTATATATACGATAGACAATTATATATATATATATATATTCTATGCTGACGTAGTTTCAATTTATGGAGGACGGCCCAGGCCCAAAGATAATAGAGGTAATATAGATAATCTATTTATTTCCGGAAGTTTAGATATTTATTATCTTCCAACTTTCCAATTCTCCAATCTTGCCCTCCAACCTTCCAATCTTCAATCCTCCGGAGGGCTGGACAGGAAGGAGCTGGAAGGCTGGAGGGCGAAAGATGCACGGCAGGGGCAGGGCTAAATCAATATTTCCAGATATATTAAAAGCGGGCGATCCAAATCCACTACCATTAGACCTAAATCAAATGATTTATTTATACTATTTAAATATCAGGGAATTTAAAAATTATACGATGTAAATTCATATTTATTATATATAAGACTATGATTATTTCTTAAATCTATCATTATATAATTATGAATGAGTTTCAAAATTTTCATGAATAGTATTTAAATTATTTTTTCTTATATCTATATATATGAATTTCCTAATATTCATATATAGAATTTCATATTTTATATCTTTTCAATTATTAAATATAAATTTCTTTCAAAGCAATGGAAAGTTTGAATATGAAAGAATATGAATATCATAAAATAAAAAGATTTAAAAATTTTAGAATAAATGATTTCGAAATCTATATATGAATCATATATTTCTATATGAATCATCAAAAGATATATTAAATCATAAAACGAAATCATAAAGAATCTAAATCATAAAAGATTTTCTTTTAAATTTATGAAATCTATATATAAGAAATTCGATGAATTTCCAAGATATATATATTTCAAATAAAGAAGAAGAATATTATTTAATTATGCTTGAATTCATTACGAAATATATGAGAAAATATTAATATTTTTTAGAATTTCTATTCTTATTCAACTTCTTATCTCAATTCATAGCTAGATTTAAATTAATCTATCTAATTTAAAGAATTCTTCTTTTCATAATAATTCTATATACCTCAATTTCTCTTTATATATCTCCAGAATATTTAAATCACCATAATATAAAGACTCAAATATGAAAAATAACAAATCTTATTCAATAATTTTATCTAATACGGGAAATAGATCCAATCGAACGAAAAATTCGTTAGACGAATCTATTTTATTAGGCACCAAGATACGTCTATAGAATCAATAAGCTAGAATAGAATAGAGAAGGAAAAATTTGAAATATAGAAAATCGATCTTCGCATCGCTATAGATATTATCACTTATAATCATTACTAATACTAATCTTCTCTCATTATTATCATTTTATTAAATATTATCGGAATCTCCTCTATTTTTAATATTTAATATATCGCGACCATTTATATATCTTTCGAAAGATAAAATGAAATTTGCGGGCACTATGCATACATTGAATCTTCCACTATTAGAACAAAATCTCGGAAATCTATTCGATATCTATCTCATTTTTTCTTCTATCTCTAATTTCTTCTCTCCTCTCCTTTCTCCTCTTCTCTCTCCTCTCCTATCTTCTCTCCTCTTATTTCTCTCTTCTATCTCCATTCCTCTCCTCTCTACCTCTCGTTCCCCCCCTCTCTTTCTCTCTCTCTTTCTCTATTCTCTCTAATAAAAAATAATATCATCTCATTCGACACCATCAATAAGAAGAATTCTCTTCTCTCATCTCTTTGCTCTCTTATCTTTCTTCCCTTCTCTATTCCCTCTCTCTCTCTCTCTTTTCTCCCTCCTCCCTCCCCCATTCCTCTTCTCGCTCTCGCTCTCGCTCTCGCTCTCCCTCTCCCTCTCCCTCTCTCTACTAGTAACAACAACACCAACAATACCGCCATCCGTCACCACCAATAAGAAGAATAATAATAAGATCAATATCATCGATAAGAACACCTGGTCCCAGCCGATTTACCCTCTTCTCTCTCTCTTCTCTCTCTCTCTCTCTCTCTTTCTTTTATCTTGTCTCTTCCCTCTTCTCTCCTCCCTCCCTCTCGTGCTCTCGCTCTCGTTCTCTCTATCTTTCCCTCTCTCTTTCTCGCTCTCTATGACAACAACAACAACACCTCCACCGCCGCCACCACCATCAAGAAGAAGAAGAACAAGAACGTCGAGATCCACCTGCGGCCAAATATTAATGACACATTTTATAAGTAGAAGTTAATATCAGAAAATCGAATTTCAATTTTCCGTTGGAAATATCGAAATTAGTGGAGATCATAAATCAATGAAAATCGTCGAATTTGCCGGTAGATAATCAATTTGACCAATAGTCATCCCTGAAATATATTAGATTTTATATTCTGACCATCGGAGTCGCTGAAATAAACGGGAAGTCTCAAATCCGCCCGAGGCTTAATAAATACGGTATTTTTTTGAAATAGATTTTAAGATCAAGAAATCAATTCCTTATTTTCCATTGGAGATATCGAAATTGGTATTATCCCGTAAATTCACGAAATGCTTCGAATTTATCAATGAATACTCATATTTCCAGAAGCCGTCCTTGAAAAAATTTGGCTTTTCCTTGTTTCTGGCCATCGGAATCGTTGAAATGATGAGAAGTCGTTGACATATAGGGATTCCCAAGATCTCCCCGCAGCTTAATATAATGACGAATATTCGAATTTTGCAGTAGAAAATCAAATCCCAATTTTTCGTTGTAGACGCTGAAATTGGTGGAATCCTTCAAATCTAGCAAAATCACCGAATTTGCAAAAGAATTTTTTCTCTAATATTCAGATTTGATCGTCAACCATCCGCGACCTAATATAAATAACACAATTTATAAACAGAGTTTGATAAATTTTCCATTAGAAATACCAACATTAATGGAGATCTATAAATCTACGAAAACTATCGAGTTTCCCGATGAACATTCATCTTTTCAATAACCATCCTAGAAAAAAAAAAAAAAAAAAAAAAAAAAACAAAAAAAAAAAAAAGACTAAAAAAAAAAAAAAAAAAAAAAAAAAAAAAAAAAAAAAAAAAAAAAAAAAAAAAAAAAAAAAAAAAAAAAAAAAAACAAAAAAAAAACAAAAAAAAAAAAAAAAAAAAAAAAAAAAAAAAAAAAAAAAAAAAAAAAAAAAAAAAAAAAAAAAAAAAAAAAAAAAAAAAAAAATAAAAATCTTAGAATTCTATATTTCTGTTCATCGAAAAAAAAAAACGTCGTGGAAAACAGGGAAGAATCCAATTTTCGGTAAATTGTCTATATAAATAATATATTTGTCTTAATATAAATATTATTTAATATCAAAATATATGTTGGTGGTATTATAATCTGTATATAATATTATATATTTATAAATATAAATAATTTATCTAAATCAATATTTATATATATTTAGTTTTTCATAATAATTAATATACATTAATATATTATTTTTAATATTTATAGTATAATAATAATACTATTTGTATATCATTAATTTATATATATTTGGCCGCAATAAAAAGATTCCTCCAAATCCACGAATATTATTGAATTTCTCGATAGATACTCTTTTTTTTCCTAGAATCATCCCTGAATAATATTAGATTTTCGATAATCCTAATTATCGGAACCATTGAAATGAAGAGAATATAGAAATCCATCTACGATCTATTTTATGTAAATGGCATACTCTCAAATAGCATTTAGTAAAATTCTCCGAGTTTATCGTGAAAAGTAATTTTTATAATAACCATCCTTGAAAATCTTTAGATTTTCGATATTACTAGCCATGATAACCATTAGAAAAGATAATTATATGTTTCTATTAATCCAAGTGCTCTATTCTAGTTAAGAAATCAAAAGATTATATAATTCAGTGCCCCTCCAGAGAATACTATTCGTAAAATGAAATGAAAAATTATTATATTATCTTCCGCGAAATTAATTACCGAAAATTTTGCAAATCCACGTTCACGATTATAGAATTTTTTGCAGGAGAGAAGAATCAGAAGAAATAGGAAATATTATGGTGGTTGCGTGTTCCGGAGGCTTTACTTGTACGAAATAATCTTCTGAATCTCTTAAACTAGTTAGATTTGATATACGGGATACGAAATTAGCTTCCCTTAATGAAAAATACTACGTTAAATCGTTTAAGATGGTGTCAGCTAATCCATCTCGCCTGCATTTCTGTTCTAACTACACACGGACACCTGTGCGAGACTAGGCTCCCCAACAGGAACAACTACGAAGTGCATGAACAAGATACCATTTTATAGCGCAGATAAGGCATAAACAAGATTACTAACATGATATCTTTATCTTTTTTCTTGTATTTTTTCTCGGTATTTTCTCAATTTCTTGTACAGTAACAATCGAAGTACATTAAAGTTTTAGATAAAAAAGGAAATCTATAAATAAGATGACAAAGAACTGTATAATGTCAATGAGAAAAACGGATAAGACAGTAATATCATAGAATCTTTCAACAATGTGAGAAACAGAGATGAAGCCACTCCCGTGGTTGATGTGGAAGGCGACACCACCAGAACGGCTACGTATGATCTTGAATGACTTTTCATGTGGATCATTGCCATGGGGCCGCCTGCAGCAGCGAAATGCTGGGTGAAAGAACTGGAAAGCATAAAACCGCTCCAGCCGGACGGATAAGCATTGCTAGCAAATGCATGGCAATTGCAGAGAATTGGCCATAAACAGCCAGAAAATTCTGCCGGAGGTTCAAGAGCCGAACCAAGCAACCAACTACTCACAAGTCTTCCACTGTTGGCATCTATTGAGCTCTCTTCGAGCAAGGGATGCTGCTAGCTTTTGAACCTCATGGGCAAGCTAAATAACATGGACATGCGGTCCTTCTCAGCGCTTGTAGTGATGGGGATTTCGCATCTTCCACTCTGCCACCTTCCGAGAGTGCTGGGCCGCGAGGCGCGGGCCATCGCGTTTATGCTTGTCTCTCATCGCATGTCGCTCAGTGCTTTTCTTTGCTTATGTAGATGACCACAGTCAGCAAAGAATTGAACACTGGGGTCCACGCCTTGGGATCCTGGTCCACCGCACAATGCAGAGCCCACAGAAGCGGGAAGGTAGTCTGGATGTACGTGGGAGCTATGCCGTCGATCCTGGGGAAGGACATGTTCGACACACGCCAGAAACGCTCAGCGACCGATCTTATTGCCTAATTGCTTGTCCAAGAGGCTTCAGGCTTGAGCCAACACGTACCCTGACCTACACATCACGGTTTCTGGGGAGAGCACAGGACATAAGACAATCATTCGGAATTAGTGATCAGCTACTCGAAATCCAAGCTCTATGGCCCCCGCCCTGCGGAAGCCCGGCTAGCCAGGATTATCTGCTAAGGCTCACCCCACTGGAGATCCAGCCCACAGCCCTCCAGATGGCGAGGTCGGCCACACTTAGCGAACTGCCTGCCACCTGACAGCCAAAGAAACCCGCAGAGGGTAGGTTCTGCACTTTGTTTGCATAACGCGTTCGACTTCTCAAAGATCTTCAGGTTTTTGGGCCAGGAGTCAATGAGATTGGCATAAGCTTTTCCGATCCAGGCTCTGTTGTACGGGATGCGGAACACCCAGTTGGCATGGTTTCGGCGGTCGTGCTCAACATGTTAGATCTTGGTCAAAACCCGGGACACAGCTCAGAGGCCAGATTACTTTCAATTGCTGAATACGGTCACGTCACAAGAACGATTAGTTGCGACAGTGTCGCTAACACAAACGGAAGCAGAGACTGGGGCAAGTCTGCTAATGATACAGGAAAGGCCGTGAAACTGCACCCCGAACGTAATACGATAAATGACATGTTACAGTACATGCCGACATGAGCAACAGAAAGGACGAGTGCGCAGAGTCTCAAGCAGCATCAACGGCAACTCTGGTATAGCTCTGAATCACAATAGAAGTGACACGAGTCTTGGCAACAAGCACCACTTCCAAGGCAAAAAGCCGCGAAAGTTAACACGGGCACATCTTGCGGTTCTGGCAGGAACATAGCGGGAGCATTCACATGCGCTTCTAGATGCAAGGAAAATCGGCATGTTGCGCATGACAGCAGTAGCAAGCAAACCTTTCGACGTGGTACGAAGAGCTTCAAGAACAGTCTAGTCGTATGAACGGCACTCACATTGGCAGCCGGACTTGATATAGTCCTAATGCATAACACCCCTAAGGCTCTGAGCAATACAACTCACAAGCTTGCATCAAGTTCTCGAGCCACGTACGGCACTGGACGGGCACCGTTCTGCTTCAGCAGCGTTTCCAGGCCATTCAACAGCCTCAATGCAGGCGGGCCCAAGAACGATGATAGGCATGTGGGGTGCAGGGGGGGTGGGGTGCTGCTGGGGTAAAAGGGAGGTGCACGCTAAAGCTTGAACACGTAAAGGCTCGTTCTTCCACTATCGGGTTCGGTCGTCAACAGCTCTTGGGATTGCCTTAATCGCAACTGCAGTTTGACAGGCACCGATGCAACTACTGGACTTACCGTCATTATTTACCGGTCGGCATACTCGTGCTACTACCAGTGTGATTGGAACGTGTCAAACAACCAGAACCAACACTTTACCTTTTTTGGACGAGGTCTCTCTGATGTGCCTCCAAGTTGCCTGCCTCAGCGATGGGTCGTGCATCACAAGGCACCAAACACGCTAGACCGTATTGCAGTCCAGCAAACCCGGGCCCGAGTAAGTGAATACGCCACGACTCAAGAAACACCGTGAAGGTCACCACTACACCCCACTGTTCCCAAACACTTCGTGAAATGTCTGGAAGCTGCGGGAGCAGTACATCGACATTGAAGCATTGCCTCATCATGAACCCTTACCTCAAAGCCTCAACTCTAACACCAAAAGCCCTAAACAAGACAGGAAGCAGAAAGCTCAGAGGCCCCTTCTGAACCCCAGACTCTGCCGATCAGCTGGGAAGCACAGAGGCCCCGAAACCCTAAACCCCAAGAGCCAAGTCGATACAAAGCCAAGAGGCATGGTCATGCGACCATCAGGGGCCACCAGGGCCGCCCTCCAGGCCATCTTTCGCTTTGGGTCCCGCTCCTGCCACTAAGGTCTCTTGCAGTCCGCTGGGCCATAAGGGGGGGGCATGTATAGGAAAGACAGCTAGTGGAAAGATCGTTCATCAGAGAGAATCGGTGCAGGTTCGGCAACCGGATAAGCATCTGGACACAAGCTGTCTCACAGTACGGCATGGCACTGCCGCTCCAGGTCGTCTTCTTGTACCTTTGACGTCGTCATCCATCGCTTGAGGTTTTCACGACTGTGACTCTTCCCCGAGAACACCGTCCGTCACAGCATCGGTTTGTAACATGCATTCCTTGTGATCACACCAATGCGGTGGCAAATTCAAGCTTAAAACCTTGATAACAAAGCTCCTGCATGGTATCGGTGACGAGGTCTGAGACATCTGTGAGGCCATCGATGGCTTCGTCACACTTCGCAGCCAGGAAGGGGTCGCTAGGGTACATCCCAGTGAGATGTCCCACATACCGCGCAATGGCTTGCGTCTGGTTCAGCACGCCCTTTCCCGGCACCACCAGGGCCGGAAAGGTTCCGAAGGTCAGGGCCCCTGACGCATACATGCCCTCGTACCCCATGCGAGCATCCTCGAAGGGAACTCCGGCCATGAAGAGGGCCAGGCGCGCGCACTCCGCACGCCAGTAGTGGTGATCCAGGTAGATCAGCTTCAGCTGCGATGCAGTCGCTGCCATGGCTTTGGATGGAAGGCTTTAGGTGAAGGAAGCGGTGACACACGCAGCTTCGCAAGCTGCTCTTTCTCATGGAATGAGCACATCCATATTATGAAAGTCGGCCTCAGGGTCGTTTCGGGCGTAGAGGAGCCACAAGCAGCTGGCTATGGTACCATTGATGGGCGTCGCTGAAACATGCCGGCACCAAGCTCCAGTATCACTACGAGAAAGCACATGGCGCAAGCACCCAAAGTGGAGCAAAATGCGAGCATTTTGCGTGGGCAGAGTACGCACCACCGCATCCTGCATACGCTTCTGGCAGGCTGGGTACAAACAATCCGACGACATGAAACGAGTGCACTCTGCACCGGATTAAAAGATCCTCAGCTGCAAGGCAGCTGTACTATGCACACGCTCCCGGCCATATTGCCGAGCACATCTTCGGCAACGCATGTAAGTCAACGACAGGATATGATCCCGGGAATCTTGAACCTTCAATTTAGAGGTGCATCTTTTAGGGCTTCAAGGCTCGGGCATGTTACTACGGCGAACTGTCCAAGAGTGGTAAGTCTCTTGGCATTCTCCGTGATGCCATCCTGAGCCATCAAAGACAAGCAAAAAGTTGGAAACACGCGAAATAACCTGTTTCTAGATGCGGGGCCCACGATAACTCGGCCACATTCGTCCAGATTTCTGTTGGTCTTCGAGGTTGCAAGATGAGTTTATTGGACACATCATTTCACGCTCGGTTGGGGCTGCTGTTCGTGATTGACAGGTCAGAAATTTCCAGGGCCCTTGAATCCCAGAATCGCACTAGGCTCGAGGCCTCTTGTTTGTCATGTACAACTAGGGACTTCATTCCGTATCATGATAGTCTATCAGTACTTGCTTGGATCCCCTCTGAGGCCAAGAGGATGGCGACTGAACTCGAAGGATGAAATCTCACATGATTCCGACCAAAAGACGCAAAACCCGGCCCTGTTTGTTCCAGGAGCCCGAAGCCTAAGACCCCAAGTCTCTTATCTCTCTCCTCTCTCGTTCTCGATTTCTGAAGATCCGGGCTCCTGGCCTGTTCACCTTGTCCAAGCTATCTTGCAGGTCTTGCCTCAGCACAAAATAAGATAAGGCCGGCTGGATCTCTGACTGAGCCACTAAACGCAAAAAGCCCAAAACCTCGACATCCCTACAGCCGAAACTCTGATCCCGCAAAGGACTTCGCCTTCACAATCCACGTTCGGCAAGAGCCTAGTCGTGGCAGCATCTTTCTCGAATTTCTGAGTGTCGGGGGTTTAAGAGACATCACGGAAACGATGTGACGTGTTCTAGGGCTACGTTCTGTTCTGCTCCAGTGCTGGGAACATCCGGGAAGACTCACTTTAACTATGGCGCAGAGATGCGCAGAGTATGAATTACTGCTTGCAGCGGCAATTTTCTTGCAGAGCAAGCCATCAGTCAGGACGAGGACGTCAAGCAAAGCTTGCCGCTCGGCATGCGGGGCTCTGTCTCCTTCTGCGAAAATCGGTTGCAGGTCTTTGCCATGGTCGCATCCGGCTGTAGGTGGGGTGCGTCGTCGGAAGCCTTGGCTTTGCTTTGAGATTGTGTCTGCCAGGGCTAGGCGCATCTAGGAGCCCATACCAGGGACACGAGCAGAGTCAGCAAAGCGCTTGCCGTGCTTCCGAAACTGCATAACCACAACTCAGACTGCGACTCCCATACCCTGAGAATTCGGAGCTCTATCAGACGAGAAGCCCAAAAGGCGAACCAGCTGGGCTGCGGCCCCCGCGTTTCTAAGGGAAGCTTCAGTCCAGCAGGCTACCCGCCCGGCAGAAACCGCGAACCTCAACTGTCATGAATAAGTACATGTGTATATTATCCAAGAATGCTGCATAGGTGTGTTTGCGTGTTATGTAATTTTAGACCTTATCCACATACACCACTTTATGTCTGTTTTCTATCCGTTTGGCTGAAGTACCTTTAAACTGTCATGCGTGTTTCGCAACGGCACCCGCGTGTTAAAGAGTCAGGTCTGTGGCCTTGGAGTGTGCCCTTTGAAGGATTGAATCTGAAGGACTGCCATGTTTGCGATATGGACTCTCGCAACGTAGAATCTAGGTGTTCCTGAAAAGTAGGGTCAATGAAGGGCTCATTTAGTTCAGAGGATCATGTGCGGTCTGGAAATACTTGGTATGGAAATACTTGGAGCCCCTGATTCTCTGAAACCCACGTATGCCTGGCATGGGCTGCAACCTGGTGGCAGGTCTGTGAGGACGCCGCAGGAACTCCGGGCCGGACCCCGTGCCAAAGGCAGCCAAGCGCTGGAGAGCCCACCGCAAGAATCCGTGCACGTTGCGAACATCCAGGGAGCCAGCATGGGCGATCGAGAAAGCGCATGGACCGAAGACCTGGCAGCTTAAAATGGCTCAAAGGATCCTGGCCCTCGACGGAAAGCCTACGTCAACAATCCAGCTAACCTGGCATCCCTGATTTAGGTACAACAAAGGTAGCCGACCTCAGAATTTCTGAAACCATCCGGAACCGTACCCCGCTCTCCCACTGCTTGCGCCTGCTCGCTGGACGCAAAGACAAGTCTTCCAGAGCGCTGCACGTATTCGGCAGAACCTGCTGGCGCAGGCAGGCGTCGAACTGCGCGGTCACGGCCTATGCCAGGGGTCAGAGAATGCCTGTGGCTGATGGCTGATGTGTTGCACGTGCGACCGCGATTAAGCAAACAGCTTGCGACCAAAAGGTGCTGTCGTTGCAACGGCTGTTTCAATGAGGGCAGGGGGTGTGTAAGAATTTAAGAAACGGAAGATTCGAGTGGCATGGCTGGGATGTCGTCATGACGCGGTGCACCTCTCCATTGCTTCAAACTTCCCTATCTACGTCGCAGAACCCACCCCTTGCCTGCTCTTCCCAAAGAAGCTCGGCTGCACCCATCACAGCACGGAAGGCCACACGAGGGCTGCGAGGGGCAACAGCCGGCGGAGAAGAAGCTCCCTGTAGTGCAGCGGGGGTCGGAGTGAAAGACGTCAACAACTTGTCAGTTGGAACACATTCCACTTCGCTCTCCATGATCGATAGTAGCTCCCCGGCTTTTGAAGACCTGCATCTGCATTCCTCTATGTAAAGGCACACAAACCTGAATCAAGTTTCCTTCGGCACTCAGAAAGCCGCCTCGCGGCCTTGCCAGCTCCGCATCTCTAGCTGGCCTCAGTGCAAAATGAAGCTTCTGGCCCGTCGAGGCGGCTACGGTAGAAGGTTTTGGCAGGTTTGAACAAGGCAAAGCAAAGACAGCAGACATACCGCACGTCAACCCTCTCATCGCTTCCACCCTAAAGTCCGAGAGCCCAAGACTCCAAATTGCTGAACCCCAAGCACACCACCACTCTCCTGAAACCTTTCCTATGCTAGTACTGGGGGGCCGGGCTCGATGCCTCATCTCGAACTGCCTCGAGCCACTCCTCCGGAAGAGGGCTTTGAGCTTGAGAACTCTGCTGGCTTCTGATGCCTAGGGAAAGGGATCTCTGCCTGTTACGGGCTTCTAGGACTTTGGGCTTTCAAAGACTTTGGCAACTCGGGCGGTTGTAGGGCGGGTATTCCGTTGCTTTCCCGGTGGCATCTAGGCTCGCAACCAAGAGTTCGCACAGTCTGGGTTTGTAAGGACAGCTGGGTGGGCGTATGATTATGGAGCCCGGGGTGGTTCAAGGACCATCTGGGAGAGATCATCTGCACAGGCCACAGATTCTGCATAATAGTGTCAAGTACAATGACTACAGTGAATAAATCATCAATCTACAGCTGCAACTAGTTACATGGCTCCCCGTGTCGTCCTGAGATTTCGGAGTGATACCAGGTACTACTTGAAAAGGCGACCTTGCATGTGTCTTCCCCCCGTTCAAGCTACGCTCCCGCAGCTGCGCAGTGGCCGGGGCGCCATCAGACTGTGACAGCGCATGAAGCACCTGAGCTGTAGAAGACCACTGTAGATCCCCAGCCCTGTTTTCATTGAATTCGAAACATCCGGATTCGTCACTTGAGACCGTAACGTCGGCTGGCATCCGATACCTTCATCACCTGCGCTTTATTTCTTTAACCCACCGCATCCACTCCCAACAGCTGGTGCGAAGAGGCCACGGACTCAGCTGCTGGCGCCTGCAAGGATCGCACCTGCGGCAGGACAGCTTTGCTTTCAACATGAGCTTCTCATCACACGAAGCGCTCAAACAGCGATTCCCTGCAGGATCCCCGAAGGCCAGAAGTGCGTTTCCATCCTGAACCCTGCGGATGATAATCGTTAACCCCGAGTTGTCTTTCTGGCCTCCCAGAGCGCGGTGCCCAGGCACAAAGCTTCGGCCCAAGCCGCCGCCCCTGCGGCCGCCGTCGCGGCGGCAGTGAATGACATGGCCGAGGCAGAGGAGCCTGCTTTGGAGGTTTAAGAGTGGGGTTTTCTGGGGGGCTCTGATACATCTGCAGGGGAGGCCTCTGCAGTTCTACTTGTGTTTGCACAGCCGATCTGCACAAATCGAGAAGTGTACTAAGGCATTTGTCAGGACCAGTGAAGCATGGCCCCTGACGCAAGGATGACACGCTTGCCAGGACCATTGAAGCATGGCCCCTGCGCAAGGACGACACGCCACACGTTGTGGCTCAAGCATGGTGCACAAATCGAGAAGTGTACCGAGGTCTCGGCAAGGGTTTTTGAGCTTCGGAGTCTGGGGTTTGGAGCGGGGTTGTGAGGGTACCCGATATCCTTTTCCCTCTTTGTTCCCCACCCCTTTCAGGGTTATTTGGAGCTTGATTTGAAGGTGGTGACTGTGTAGTGTTGATGGTGACATGGACTATAGTTCGCTAGATGATGTACCGTATAGTGTAAGGATGAACCTGCAGCAACAACAACATCAGCAGCATCAGATTATGTCACCAGCGTTCAGCATCGTCACAGACAGCAGCCCTCAACAAACACAGGTGATGAGCCCAAACGCTCCACCGCAATCCCTTTCTGCAGCGAGTGCTTCAGTGGCACCACAGCTTCAGCACTTCGACGAGCCATCATCAGAAAATGTGGTACGTATGAGGATGCAGCAGATGTTGCAGATTCAGGCGCCAGCCGAAGTTCTGAGATTGCTTCAATCATCAGCTGCAGTAGTGGCAGACGCTAAGACCATCAAGGACGTGCAGAGCAATGTTCGTTTGGTGGCTCAGGAGCTTGAGGCAAGAACAGAGCGATTGGCATCGTGCTTGTCGGGAATTACCGGGGACCTAGATGGGGTGAAACATCAATCAGAGAGACTGCTCAACGCTGCAAGTGATCATCATGCTGCCTTGAACAACGCCAACAACAAATTCAAGGAGCTTGAAGAACAGATCCAGCAGATAGAGAGTGCAGTCACCCAATTGTCGAGGCGTCAGGTCACCTTTGAGTCTGCGATGGAGACTCGGTTGGGTGCCCTTGAGAATCAGATCATACAGTTGAGAGCTCAGGCTGCATCAGCGGACGCGCTGAAAGATGAAGTGGTTTCGATGAAAGCTACATTGTCAAGGCTTGAGCATCAGCAACCCGAGATACAACAAAGCGCGCAGACCAAGAGTGAAGAGAGTGAGACCCGCATCCAGCGCAGAATTGACGAGATGGATGTGTTGTTGAAACATTTCTTCGAACGTGTGGATGGAAATGAGAAACTCTGTGAGAAGCTTAGACAGCGGTCGGAGGATCTCACCAGCCGCTTTGAAACCTTGCAAACTCACGTTGATGAGGGGTTTAGTTCGGAATCCAGAGCTTTACCACGTCGTCCTCAACTTCAGATGCCCCAGCAGATTGCAGAGGAGGTGTCCGATGAAAGGTTTGAGGAGGAGGCGAAGGCTCAGGAGATCATTGAAACACCAAAGCATCGCACAACGTCAGGTGTCCAGATGTTCCAGATGACTCCCCAGCGTGACGGAGCCGATGATTCATGGCAGAAGGATGCTGTTGATGAGTGGCTGGAACAGGTAGAGGAACCTCAGGTTGTGCAATCTGTTCCTGCGGAGCCTCCAGGTCTAGGAAGTTCTGGTGCAAAGATTCCGGCGGGACAATGGAAATTGATCAAAGATTTTCCCAAACTCACGATTCCTCACGGAGAGCCGTGGGAAAAGGGAATGGTGTTTAGACAGTGGTGCACAGAAGCCGCATCATTGGCAGAGGCGATATCACCATACTTTGCACAGTTCTTCCGAAAGCGAGTGCAGGAGGGACAGACCAATTATGAGAAGCGCTTGAGGGATGGTTGTGAGTCAACGTTGCCAGCAGTTCATCAGGAGGAGCGGGAGATGGAAACCCGATTGAGCCTAGCTCTGCTTAAGGCAATCCCATCTTCTTTGAAGCAACCGGCTCTTGAGAAGGGTACCCCAAATGAGGCGGTATCCACGATTGCATTAATGGAGACAGTGAGCGAAGTGTTGATGCCAGGAGGTATTACTGAGCAAGTGTCGTTACAGAGATTCCTTCGGCAACTTCCCACGGCATCATCTTGCAAGGAGCTGCTTGCTACACTTAGGAGGTGGAGACTGGCCAAGCAACGCGCTGATCATTTAGGAGTCCCAGAACAAGCCCCTCATGAGTCAATTGCTGCATTGAACAGCTTGTGCCAACAGCTTGAGAAAAAGCATGCTTTGTTGGGAACAAGATTGAGCTTGTTGAGATTGCAGCACAACATCCAGGTACCATCCCACGACGGAGTGACATCGTTCCTTCAGGTATTGGAAGCCGAATGTACCCGGATTCAAGCTGAGGAGCAGACGTCTTCGTCGTCCAAAGATGCTCGGAAACATGAGGGAGATGAATACGCGATTCCTTCGGCAAATCAGGCTACTGGGGGAAAGGGTGTCGGTGTAAAGCCGTTATGCTCTTACTTCAACACTGCCAGAGGCTGCTTGAAAGGAGCAAATTGCGAGTTCAGACATGAAAAGATTTCAAACAAAGGGAAGGAGGCCAAAGGCAAGAGCGGCAAGGATGGGAAGGATGCTAGAAATTCTTCTTCGGATAAGGGGAAATCATCTGGTAAGGGTGACGCGAAAGCCATTGCAGATGCAAAGGCGGCTGAAGAAGCAAAAGCTAAAGCCGCCGCGGAAGCGAAGGCTAAGGTGAAGGCTGAAAAGAAGGCGGCCAAAGCAGCAGCAAAAGCAGCAGCATCAGCCAAGGCTTCTTCAGTAGTGACCATTGCAAGCGCAGCATTAGAGGAGGTTCCATCATTGGTTGGTGCAGTAGGACCGACTTCATCCGGGTCAACAGCTCCACGCATCATGATGGCACAGAGTCTGGACTGCGAGAGTAATGATCTTAGCGAGTCAGAGTCGCTTGAATCAGAGATTCCTATGAGAGCTGAGGGTGATACGCCAGAGTGGTCGGAAGTAGAGCGTGGCGATTTCTCCAGTGCAGAGCCTTCTTCAGAGGAAGAGGGTCAGGCTGGTGAAGACCAGCCCAGGCAGTTGCATCCACTTCGTCTATGGGTGTTAAACTTGACGATTGAAGATTTCATCATGTGGACGAGGCCTGGTCACATTCAGTCACATGCCACTTCCGAGTTCCAGATTGAAGCCAATCCAAATTCCATTATGTGGCCTGTCTGGTGGACGATTGAGCATGATTATCTTGATGACAACGAACAGGGAGTGATCCCTGTGACGGAAGATGTGGTGATGTTGAGGTGCGATGTGACGCCAGTGTTGTTTGAGGATGGCATCATTCGGAATGTCTTTGTGGTGTGGCTCCTTGAGGAGGAGACTGGAAGAGAGCGCAGGGTTGCAGTGATTAGAGGGCGAGTTCGTCCCATTGTCACTCCGTGGCCAAATCGGGAACTGAGTACAGCAGCCTCAGCAAGCAGTCCTCCAGTTGCGAAGGCACCGACGATCACGGCGCCGCCTCCGGAGTTGCATCAGGGTTTCCCTAGGATAGGTTATCC